TAAAACTCATCAGTCACTCGAGAAGTCGCTCGAAGTAGACATTCAAATAGGTATTTTGTCAAATTTATTGTATTTTTATACTTCATGTCTTATGGGTGCCGATGTTTATATTATTTAATTGAATATGCAACTTGTTGTTTTTATATTAATACATTTATAATGTTATTTGTGAAGACGGAGTTGGGTTGCCCAATGAACCGACAACCTGTGAAGAAGACGTACAGCAGCCTGAAGATGTTGTGCCGGCAGGTATACATGCAACGTTCACACACACAGTGATTATAAATCACACACTGTTACGTACAACGTACAATAGTGTGATTATATTTCGGTCGATATCGTACGCAGTGAGGTGGCCTACTGTGGTGTGTATAAATCCAAATGTGCATATCACGAATGAATTGCTAGACTTGTGGTCAACCATTCTCAATTATAACGATAACTTAAAAAGTCGTGGCGCACCATCTTGCTTTTTTGAAACCACTTCCCCATGTAACGAGGTGCAACATGTTATTTGACAATGTTTAAGTAACCGTGTATTTTGTATCGAAAATATTGTTTTTAAATATAATGTGCATTTGATGGTGGTGTTGTGGTATGTAGCTTTTCTTCAAGCCAAAGCCAAAAGGGAAGAGAGGATCGAGCTACAACTACAAGATGTTTGCAGAAACCTTAGAATCAGAAATCAAACGCAGGTCCTCTCACAATTTGAAGAATATAGCCGTGGTAAACGATTACATATAAAATTATATTGATATTTAATTAGTTACTTATTTATTTTGTTTGTGTTTGTCGTGATATTCTGAGTCCATGATCAAGTACGTTTTGACTGCTATACGAATTCGTTTGTCGTTATATTCCGATATAATATCATTTATAAGTCGATTTATCTTATTGTTTATTACAGTTTTTATTTCCGGTACAATCTGGCACATTCTCGGGTGTAATGTGTGTATCCCTGGAATCCCAAAAGTTGAGCTTTTTATATAGTGATGGAAAATATAAAGATGGTGCTGTCACGAAGCCTGTTATGCCACTAGTTAAACTACTGGTAATATCACAACAATTACTACAGACAATATCACATAATTATAAATGGTTGTTCATGGTTTTGTGTTAACCAATATCTCACCCATTTCAGCAACATTCAATCTCCAAGTTTTTAGGCGAGAGGAGCATGGTAAAAATTTTAAAAGCAATTGCATTGTCTGTGCCCGAAGTTATTGGCACACCATGGACTGAAGGCGTCGACGAGATAGACATCGGGGTGATGACCATGCGTCATATGAAGACATTTAAAGGGAAGACATGGAACCCGCAGCTTAAGATGGCAGAAAAGGGTCAGATAAAGCTTATTAGGAAGTGATATAGCTGTTTCATTGCGTGCGCCGATAACAATGAAGTGGCGGCCATCAACCTTTCCGCAGCAAAGAGATTCCATCCGGTGTATCTTGCAAAAAAAAGGGCAAAGTGATTACGGGAAATGGACCATGCAAATGGGGCAGCGAGTATGAATGTACATGTTAACTTTTGTTCGTGACATCTCGTACTTTGATGGGTGATGACGTTTTGAACTGGATGTTTTGTTGTTTTGAAGTTTTTGGATCGTAACTTCGTGGTGCAACTGAGATTTTGGATTTGTGATTGTGTGAATGTTTTTTCATGTCTCTGTTATGTCGGTCTGTTGGATGATACGAAATTTCAATTTCATTGAAGCATTTATTTCGTATTACGTCTAAATAGCTGAAGTTGTGCATATGCTCGTAACATAATGTGCGGCTTGTATATTTGTTTTGTGCATCAACATATAGTAGTAATCGTAGCTATATCATGAAATGAGCTATTTATGTTTTTTTGTTTACTTGTTTGTTTGTTTGTTTTTTCAGTTATTTAGTTATTTTTGTAGTTTGATTTTCTTTNATTGTTTATTAGATGGTAGTTGTTGAGAATTTGTGCATAATGACAATGTGTAGTGTGCATTTTTCATGAATCGTAGTGCAGAACTATATATTTTTGTTATGACTTTTTATTTTGTTATTTATGTATACACGTTATTTAGTCGACTGATAATTTAAATTGTAAAGTAATGCTTGTAAAGTAGTGCCGATAAATCGGGTCTAATGGCGATGTATAATGTGCACTATTGCAAGGACAAACATGCAACCTTATATACGGTAGTGTGCATCGTTTATGTTCATATATGCGTGTAACCACCGTCTATGTTCATATATGCGTGTAACGTGCAATTAGTTAAGTACGGTAGTGCATCATTGTTTACACTATTGTGCATCTAATATTAAACAACTAGATATAAACACACATAAGTTAACAAGTATAATGAATCTGAAATCATATTAACGAGTCGTTTCCAGTAGCAACAACCAACGAAACAATATCCATGCACATGAAAAAGGACTGATCGTGAAACTAGTTCAAATATAACAAAGGAATTAGTCGAACTCTTCCAACAGTAGTCGTGGTCGAAATCTTCCTGTATGCTTCAGCGTGTAACATTAAGGATCACGTAGTTATTTGTGTCTGCATATTTAAATTTGTTGTAATTAGTATAAAGTTCAAAGTATGAACTAATATTAAACGCCTGCATGTGCATACAACATGCGCGAGATACCTGGCTGTGCCGAGAGTGCCACCTCCTCTGTGCATTTATCAATTTCCTAAAATACCCGTAGTTTATATGAAAAAAAATAAAAAAATAAAAAAAATAGTAAATAAATAAATAAAAAGTACTTTAGATAAACATTTTAATTGCTAAGTGCAAATAATTAATAATGTATACATAAAAATGTTCAACAAGTGTTGTTTACCTTCATTAGTCGCGACTGGTGTTGTTACACATATATCTTTCTTAGGGCAAGTACGTGTATTATGCCCTGCTCTTTCACCACATGTCTTGCATATCCTTCTCTTTTTTTGTGACATCTCAATCGAATTTACCTTGCTTCTCTTCATACTCTTTCCACTACCTTTGTTTTTCGATTGTGCTGGGGGATGGATGTTTATTTCTTGCGGGACGGTCATCCCAACGAATGAGTCGAACCTCTGCTCTCTGTCATTTCTTGACGAACCACTATCCTGGTCACTTAGTAGTCTGCATTTGTGCTCCCCGATTAGCTTAGAAAACTCAACCAAACGGTCCATATTCGAATCGACCAATCCCATGCATACATGTATGTCCGACCAAAGCTTGTTCACTATGGACTTCTTATCATCTATTTGTGCACATTGATCTGTGATGCTATCAAGAATACGGAACATAGGATTGCTTATAGCAAGTTTCTTCCACCTCGACAAGATGTGAGCAGGTGGTATAACATCAATATTCAAGTTTTTCAACACAACAAAGATATGCCTACACAACCACCCGTACAGTTCAAAATGTTTACATGAGCATTTCGACGATTTCAGGCCCGTATTGTGTATAACAGTGAACAACTTCCCATCGATGTCCCCTATCACAAATGTCATATCGTCTTCCTTTACTGAGATTTGCACGAGTCGGCATTTGAAGCATGCATCACATATTTTATTTTGCACACGATAGAATATATGTGTGGTGTACACAGCCAGTGCGTTTTTCTCAATCAACAACGGTGTTTTTAGTACATCTACATGAGTTTCACTGTCACTTTGCAACTTCATTGACACATTTCTCTGTGAATCAATTGCACTATCATAGTGAAGCATAAACTCTACCAAACTAGAATGGGTATTTGTAAAATTCCTAAGCCAATTGTTCTCGCTTTCGGACCTAGATGTAGTCCTCATTAGCCCACTCATCATGGTATCCCACAAATAGGCTGGTATCCAATACTCCCTCTTAGCAAACATATCAATGAACTAATTATGATTGCCCAATTTAATCTCACACATAATTGCATTCCATTTAGATTCAAACTCGCCAGGTTCAATGTGTCGGCTCCAAAAAATTTCGTGAAGCCTCCGTTTGAAATTGCTACCATTAATTAGAGAATATCCGACTTTATCACATAACTAATTCATGATATGCCACATGCAAAAGCGGTGCTTGCTGCTCGTGAATACCTTAGAGAAGGCGATTCCAATCGATGGATCTTGATCGGTGACTATGTATTTTGGTTCTTGAATCATTGGACTTTTGAAGCTTTCGAACACCCATACGTAAGAACTAACGTCTTCTCTCGATATCAACGCGGATGCAAACGTTACGCACTTCCCGTGATTGTCTATGCCAGTGAATGGTGCAAACACCATATTGTATCTACAATTAACAACAACATCATGCTGCATGAATTGTGCTGCATATGTTGTGCAAGTAAATATAATGTAATGTGCTGTGAAAATGACATTGCTGTGCAATACTGTAACACTAAGTTAATTAAGGTGTTTTATTGTTTTTACCTGTTTGTGCGATATGTTGCATCAAATGATACAACATCCTCGATTGATCCATAGTTCCTTCTTGATACCGGATCAACCCAGAAAAGTCTATGTAGACAATCGTTTTCGTGAAGGTCATAATGAAAAAAGAATGCCGAGCTATTCTCCTGTTGTTTATAGAACTTCTCTATAACCAACTGTGCGTCAGCGCCTGAAATGTACCCCATGAGATCTCGCTTGAAGTTTCTGAATTTCACAGCAGTTGCGCCAACATTAGAATAGCCCCCAACAATTTATTTGTACAACTTGTACGACTTGATAGGCCCAATGTTGGCTTTTATGCAGTTTAGTACAAAGCTCTGATGTGCGGCTGTCATTATTCGATTTACTTTTAATGCATTCGTCAGGTATCATTGGATGAGTATGCTTTTCTTCGAACAAATGAACGACGTAGCTACCAGGCCCATCAACTCGCAGCACAATCCGAGCATTACATCCCACTCGATTAGACACCCTGCGTCTCCTTGGATGCACTGTTTGGACCGTGTTGGACTGATTTTTGTAGCCCTGTCGCGAACACACCAAGTATTTCCAAACCACAGTCTTATCTTTTGCTTTCAACAATGTGCACGATAGAAAGTGACAGCTTCATTGAGCCCATCAAATTTCTGTCCTCTGTGAGGCACGATTGCATCATTGCACTGTGGTATCCAATATTTAGTGCCACCTGGGGTGATGACTAGACGGTGTTGCAGAGGCGTTGATTTTTGAAGTGTAGCTACAATAAATCGTGTAAAAACAACAGACAAAACGTAAATGAACAAATCAGCAACAAAGCATGAATATTAATTGTATATGCACAATTACATGAGAACTCATGCACAACTGTTTGCATAAACATGCACAACACTATTTTTTTACATGCATTATATACAATATTCACATATGCATTAGTCTCTCAATAATGCTTAAATCACATGAAATAAACACTCAAACACTAATTAAGACTAAAATATAAACAAGACAGCTATAATTAATCCATAGTACCTCGTGCTTCGTCAGTGTTTATGGATTCTTCCATGAGCGCAATTTTATAAAAATCCTGAAACGAAAATAGCATCAATAATCCACTCATTTATACTGTATAATCGATAGATCAAGGAAGCTATAGAGATAACAAAAATAACACGAAAAAAGAAAAGAAACACAACAAAAAAGAGGCAAAAATTAATCTATTCAGACGCCGCTCGATTTGAGTTGCTTACGAGCGCGAACCTTGATTCCAACGCTGATTTTTCTTCGGATGCGGTATTAATTCACTTTGATTCACATGCATCCATGTATATTGTCGTCGCCTCAATCAATTGGCAGATCGATTGATCCTGAGCTTCGAGATTTTCGTTCTTTTTTTCGTCTGTCTGATTTTTTCGCGAATTTATGATAGCTGTGGGGGAAGGAGGAGTGTTAATTGTGTAATGTCAATTACAAAATTACCCCTTCTAGTTGTGCGCGAATGAGCTGGTTTCTTCCGTTAGATTATTTCAATCCGGTGGTCATGATGTATTCTTATTTCTCACCTTTAGCACTATTCTTACCGGAGTACGACCCTATATATATATATATATATATATAAGGGATCATATGAGAATGACTCTTAATGCGAGAAATAAGAATGATTATAGATCATTGGATCGATACGATCAATAGACATGATGATGTCAAAATATACTAATAATAGTCAAACATATAATGACAATAAGGTAAATAAGTTAACATATTGTGGTCAAATAATAACATTTGACCACTTATTAGGGATAATTTTGACATCATAAATAATATCATCAACTAGTGGGACCCACCTAAAATACTAATTAATTTATCCACCTCACACCCATCACCCACCACCTACCCACTCTACTTACCCGTCCCTCACACACACAATTCACAAATCACACGCACTAAACACACACAAGGTCGACGGAGCCTCCGCCGCCGCCGGAACAAAACCGTGCCACCGCCGCACCCATCGCTGGTCACGTCGATGCCGAAATCAACTCGCCGACGTCGATCTGGAGAGCTCTTCGATTCCGGTGATGTACATGGATTGCGGCCGTCGACATATCCCAGCACCTGTGTAGTCGTCCTCGCCCGGCGGCCTTTTGTCGCTGCACGCCGTCGCGTCGCCGTCGTTCCCCTCCCCTGCACAAAGGCGGCGACGCTCCGTGAAGAAATGGCGTTTTGCGTTACTTTTTTTTTTTAATCGCGCAGAGCCGCGGGGATGCGGCGGCGTTAGTTGTCGGGCGATGAAGACGGCAGAGGTGACCAAAATGACTACGGCTGAACGTCAGGGCGACCTCCCGGCGGAGGTAGACAGAGGTGGCCGGTTGAAATATGTTTGAATTTGTGGGGTTAAGTGTTTGGGAATTTGATATTTTGTAGGGGCTAGATTGCAATTTTTTGAAGTTTAATTTATTTCAATTTAATACTTGAGGCAAATCTGTAATATACCAAAAGTTTAATTAATGACCAACATATTATGTTATTATAAATTGAAATAACTTGTATTATTTGACTAAAAAATAATTGAAATAAATTGTATTATTTAATATAAATTCATCTTTAATATTTAATATTATATAGTATATTTTGATTAAAAACATAATATATTATATAATCTGAATATATTGTGCAATATAGCAATTATTAAGGTGCAATATGTACAACACTATAGTGCACGACGACTGTCTGTATTGTGCAACAGATTGAACGAACCGAACCTTTTCGCCTTAAATCGAGTGGATCATGAACATAATTGATTTATTCAGTTCGTTAAACCGAATTACCTTAAATAATCGAAGTAATTTGTTATTTACACTAAATTTATTTTTAACATGTTAGTAATTTTATTTATTATTTTTATATAATTCATGGTTGAAAAAAATCGAGTTAGGTCGTTTTCGATATGTATAGTGCAATTTGATTATCGTGATAAAGTGCAGCGTATTGTTTTGTAAAGTGCAATGTTTGTTTTATAAAGTGCAACGTGTTGACTTATAAAGTGCATTACCGCGATTTTACAACTATAAAAATTAATAAAAATAATAATTGAATTGAAATATAAAATATCGAACTGAAGAAATTAGTTGGTTTATTTTTAATATCGTGTAATCATATAGTCATTAATGTGCAATCCATACGATTATAATGTGCACTTGCGATGCATAAAAATATAAATAAAAAAAAAATCGTTAATATTTTTTCATATAGTTCATCATGTTTGGTTATTTTGTTTCTTTAAAAAAACTAAATCCGACATTATCTAACTAATATTATTTGATCGATTAGCATAATTACAACAATTTTGGTAGATGTAGCGTGATATTTTAAGGTGCAACATGTTGTGTTATAAAGTGCGATGTACTGTTGTATAAAGTGCAACATATTGATATATACGGTGCAATAATGAAATTTTGATGCATTAGCATGCCTGCGTTTTGTGATGTGATGTATATTAAAATATTTTGTAGATCTGTTTTGTAAATTTATATTGAGTAATATTTTGGTGACAACCGTTGACATTAATTTTGGATTGTGGTGATAAAGTGCAACGTGTTGTTTTATAAAGTGCAACATTATGCAATATAAAGTGCGCTAATTTATACATTCTCGTATTCTCGTATAAATTATGTGTATTTGAAAACTAGTTTTAATATATATAATTGTTTGTCTCATTTTTGTTGCGTTTTTCGTGTTTATTTTATCTTTCTTTTTTCCCATTTTAGGTCGTTTCTTTAGTTTTTAGTCCGTTTCGTGTTTTATTATGTGTTTTCCATCATCTTGAGTCCTTAGGTGTTTTTCGTTTGTTTTTTCAGTTTTCTTTTGTGTTTTGTCGTTTTTGGTGTGTAGGTCAGAAGTTTTGGGCGAATTTTCTCTTCAGGAAAAGTAGGTTTTGAGAGCATAACTGGATATATGGGTTCGTTGGTGACGCATAGCAAAAAACGGAACTCAATTCTGAGTTCGGACGAGCCCAAACGAGCTCGAAACGTAAAGCAGCGCGCAGCTGCCCAGTTTCCTTCACCGCGGCCACGGAGGCGAGGTTGCGGCCGCGATGGTCCCAAAAGCCCCTTTTCTGGCATGTGGATGTCGCGGCCTCGGGGACGGTCGCGGCCGCGGGTGTTCCTTCACCGCGGCCGCGGAGGAGTGGTCGCGGCCGCGGAGGGCGCGACGTGCAGAAATTTAAGTTCGATTTTGTTCGTTTTTTCAGGGACTTTTCATTGGGACTCGTTCCCAGACCAGAAAATCCCCCCAAAATCCATTTTTTTCCCTTCTCTTACCCTAAGAATACCATCTTGATCTTGTTTTTCACTTGGATTTCTTCATTACTTTCGGATTAATCTTGTATTTCAGATTCAACTCTCAATTCTGTTTTAATCGTAAGTTTTCTATTCATTTAATCCATGAATATGATTGTTTTGATTGTTGTGGTTGATGGTGTTGAATTGAATATGAGTGGCTAATTCCTTCTGCTAGGGATAGGGGATGATTGTTCTCGTTTAACGTGTATTTGTCGGGCTTGATTCCTTTGTTCTTGTGCGAGTAAATTTAATTAGGAATTAATGAATTCTTGCTTGATGATTTGCTATAACCTAAGAGTGACACTTAGGTTAATTTATTGATATAATCGAAGAGTGACACTTCGATTTTGCGCTTGAATATTGATTTGTTAAGTTAGGGTTTATTGATCCTACATGATTAGTTGATTAAACACCTTCTAATTGAACTAGCGACTTTTAGAACCGAAAGCGGAGAAGTCGTAGACCTAGGCTCGCATGAGATAGATGATTTCATAACTGAATAATCTATGGGTTTTTGGATTGAAATACATGCTTGTCGGTGTCTTGTCCCTTGTTACGAAAAGTTATTGGGATTGGATACTTGGCCGGTATTGTATGCTCAAACTTGCTCGTCTATGTTCAATTCCTTGTTACGAAGAGTTATTGGGAGTGAACCGCTAGACGTGTAGGCGAGAGTGTAAATTCCGAACCGAACGATCAATTTCCTGGCTTTACGTTGCGAACTTGAATAAATTATCCCCGATTCCCTAGTTTCTTTATTATTATTTAGTTGGTATTTTAGGATTTATGCTTTTATGCTATTCCTTAGTTGATAGTTAATTCCTCCCCAATCTGATTAGAGTGTTTAGGATTTATTTTTCTTTTTTTGTGTTGTCAATACCAATTCTAAATTCCGAACCGCCTTCCTCGAGAGATCGACCCGGGAAACGAATCCTTCGGTTCGGTACTCAGTAATATAACAATTTGTACACAACAAATTTGGCGCCGTTGCCGGGGAAGGCAAATAGGATATTTAGTTTTGGTGTTTGATTTTATTTTCTGTGTTTCTCTTTATTTTAGTATTTTTAGTGTTTTTGTTTCTTTTGTGCATATGTGTTTTTCTCTTTTGTTCTTGTTTTAGTTTTTGCCTTCTTTTCTCTCCTTTTTCCTTGGCTACGCGTGGTTTTTTGGTTCTGGTGTGCAGGTACAATGAACTTCAATCACGGGTACTCCTCCCTGCACTACCCATCTTGGAACGACGAGCCGGTCTATTTCCCCGGGTACCACACCCAACCTTACCCGTATTCTTCCGAGCAGTGCTAGAATGATTTTCCGGTTGAGCAAACTTATGAGTCCCAAGAGTTTAACGACAAGCTCGACCAGATTCTTGATTTCATAGAGTCCAAATCAGCTCGAGAAGAAGAGGCCGCATACAATGCCAAACTCGATCTCATCTTAGATCGATTGATGGCCCGAGCGAAACATGAGGAGGAGATTGAGCTCAGATGTGCCCGATTGAGTGAGCAAGTGGAAAGTCTAGCAAGGTGCATCGACTCGATTGAGTCCCAGGCCCACAAGCTCGAGGTTGTGGACCCACATCCCATACCCGAGCAACTAAATGAGCTCCAGGACGACTCCTCAGAGTACAATGCCAAGCTCGACCTCATCCTCGATTGGATGATGGCCCAAGCAAACCAAGAAAAGGAGATTGAGCTCGGATGTGCTCAGTTGAGCACACAAATAGAGAGCCTCACTGTACGTCTCGATTCGATTGAAGCACAAGTCGACAACCCACGCCTCATGCTTGACCCTCAGGCTCGAATTCTACAGCAAATGTGTGAGGCCGAAGAGGATGACATTCTCCCACGAGCCTGGTACGATGCATTAGAGGAGGAGGTCGATTCACAAGACCCTCCTCTTACCTTCGAGTTGGAGTATCCGCCTCCGAGGCCACTGCACTGCTTTCCAGAGGTGATGGTATTTTCTTCGACTTGCTCCATTGATGTGCCTTTGATTGCCGAGGTTGACGAGGGAGCTCGGTTAGGGAAGGCTCTGTTCCAAACATTGGAGATTGCTCGTGAACAGACTCACTACATAAAAAACATAGCCACTCGTGCCCACAGTGCCCGCCTTCTGGCCTTAGAGCCAGCACTGCCACTTCTCGAGAATACAAAGGCGTGGCACGATCGTCACTTCTTCTTGGACCCTGGCTGAGTTCCTCACAGGTTTCGTCAAGCTAATGACGTAAAACAAGCGCTTCTTGGGAGGCAACCCAAGTGATTTATCGCTTTCTTAGATAATTTTTCTTTTTGCTCTTTTATTTTATCTTTGAATAATGGGAGTTTTGGAGTTTTGTGTTTTTCTTGGCAGGAACGAGTTAGCGAGATCGAGCAGGAGGAATGACTTGAATGAGGATTATCGGGGATTTGGGTTGAGCATGGGCGAGCGACTTGCACGTGAATGCTTATTTCCCTCGATGCTACTTCGGTTTGCACACCTTTTCTCTTTTTACTTTTTTTTGAGTTTGTTTTCTTCTTCTGTCTTGTTTTCTGAGTCTTTCGTTCTTGTGTTAGCTGCTAGTTTTGGTTCATGATATGAAATTGTTAGGTCCATTATTTGACTTTCTGTTTTGTGTCGAAGCAATGAGGGCATTGCCTCATTTTAAGTGTGGGGGAGTTATTCGGATATTTGCATGCTTATATGGTGGGCCGGTCTAGTTTTAGATTTTTGTTTTGTCGAGCATGTGGTATTGGTGAATAGTAGGACTTGTTGATGAATGTTTGATGAAATTGGGAAGTTGTGATGACGGACGTGTGGTCATTGCCTCGGTATTTGCTTAATTGCTTTGAGTGACATATATTATTTGCCTTGTGAGGTTTTGATCCTTACTCTTCTTTCTTGTGAGATATTGGTCATATTCTTGAATGATTAGAACTTGCCTTGAGTTTGTTTGAAAGGAATCGAGTAGAGTTTGAAATTGCGAAAGTGATTGAGGCGTTTTGTTTGATTAGCTCTCTTTAGCCTTGTTCTTTGACCCTAAATGGTTTTATCCCTAGTAGCCCGTTTGAGCCTTGAGCCTTTTCTTGTCAGCCATGCATATAATGTATTTTGTTGACTGATTTTGTGATGATTGGTGAAAATGGTGTCGTTGTTAAATGAGGTGAATTGGAGTTGGATTTCTATTGCTTGACCAAATAAAAATATTAAAAAAAAAAAAAAAAACTTGAGAGTTCACAGAACGAATCGAATGGATTCTGCTCCTCTTACTAGTCGATCCATTTTGACAGGCAATGAGCATTGGGAAACTACTGTAGGAAACATGGATGACCTCCAATATTCACACCTACAGAATGTTGTCCTTTTGATTCAATCTTGTTGGAAAAAGTTATTCTCCAAATAAAAATATAAAAAAAAAAGAAAAAAAAATAAGGTTAAGTGATGATGTTGCAACTTGTTCTGAGCATCTATGTGTTGTTTGTGGAATGTTGGTTGGGTAGTAAGTGTTTTGCCTTGTTGATTCGGGATGAGTAGCGGAATGCTTGAGTATACTCGAGAACTTGATTGTCTATTTGAGCTTCGTGTCCTTATATATTCATACCTTTACCTAAGCCACATTACAACCCGTGAAGTCCTCTTGATTCGCATCTTTTGAGCTTTGATTGTTTTCTAGTAATTTAAACGATTGGCAAGCATATGTTGAAACTTGAATATTGACCAATTTTGAGCGTACCTATCACATATTCATGTAAGAAAATGAGTGAGGCCTATATTATAATCTATGCGTTTGAGAGTTTGTCATTTCGAGGCCAAGTTTATATTTGAGGCATATAGTTTCACGGTCGTTGGAATTCGACCTGGTTGACTTGGACATTTTGAAACTCTTCTTATTTGAATCTGTATTCATGCTCATGTCTTGTTTTCTTTTCTTTTTGTTCGGGACGAACAAAGGTTTAAGTGTGGGGGAGTTGTTTGTCTCATTTTTGTTGTGTTTTTCGTGTTTATTTTATCTTTCTTTTTCCCCATTTTAGGTCGTTTCTTTAGTTTTTAGTCCGTTTCGTGTTTTATTATGTGTTTTCCTTCATCTTGATTCCTTAGGTGTTTTTCGTTTGTTTTTCTGGTTTTCTTTTGTGTTTTGTCGTTTTTGGTGCGTAGGTCAGGAGTTTGGGGCGAATTTTCTCTTCAGTAAAAGTTGGTTTTGAGAGCATAACTGGATATATGGGTTCGTTGGTGACGCATAGCAAAAAACGGAACTCAATTCCGAGTTCGGACGAGCCCAAACGAGCTCGAAACGTAAACCAGCGTGCAGCTGCCCAGTTTCCTTCACCGTGGCCGCGGAGGCGAGGTCGCGGCCGCGAGGGTCCCAAAAGCCCCTTTTCTGGCTTGTGGATGTCGTGGCCTCAGGGACGGTCGCGGCCGCGGGTGTTCCTTCACCGCGGCCGCGGAGGTCGCGACGTGCAGAAATTTAAGTTCGATTTTGTTCGTTTTTTCGGGGACTTTTCATTGGGACTCGTTCCCAGACCAGAAAATCCCCCAAAAATCCATTTTTTCCCTTCTCTTACCCTAAGAACACCATCTTGATCTTGTTTTTCACTTGGATTTCTTCATTACTTTCGGATTAATCTTGTATTTCAGATTCAACTCTCAATTCTGTTTTAATCGTAAGTTTTCTATTCATTTAATCCATGAATATGATTGTTTTGATTGTTGTGGTTGATGGTGTTGAATTGAATATGAGTGGCTAATTCCTTCTGCTAGGGATAGGGGATGATTGTTCTCGTTTAACGTGTATTTGCCGGGCTTGATTCCTTTGTTCTTGTGCGAGTAAATTTAATTAGGAATTAATGAATTCTTGCTTGATGATTTGCTATAACCTAAGAGTGACACTTAGGTTAATTTATTGATATAATCGAAGAGTGACACTTCGATTTTGCGCTTGAATATTGATTTGTTGAGTTAGGGTTTATTGATCCTACATGATTAGTTGATTAAACACCTTCTAATTGAACTAGCGACTTTTAGAACCGAAAGAGGAGAAGTCGTAGACCTAGGCTCGCATGAGATAGATGATTTCGTAACTGAATAATCTATGGGTTTTGTTGAAATATATGCTTGTCGGTGTCTTGTCCTTGTTATGGAAAGTTATTGGGATTGTATACTTGGCCGGTATTGTATGCTCAAACTTGCTCGTCTATGTTCAATTCCTTGTTACGAAGAGTTATTGGGAGTGAACCGCTAGACTTGTAGGCGAGACTGTAAATTCCGAACCGAACGATCAATTGCCTGGCTTTACGTTGCGAACTTGAATAAATTATCCCCGATTCCCTAGTTTCTTTATTATTATTTAGTTGGTATTTTAGGATTTATGCTTTTATGCTATTCCTTAGTTGATAGTTAATTCCTCCCCAATCTGATTAGAGTGTTTAGAATTTATTTTTCTTTTTTTTTGTGTTATCAATACCAATTCTAAATTCCGAACCGTCTTCCTCGAGAGATCGACCCGGGAAACGAATCCTTCAATTCGGTACTCGGTAATATAACAATTTGTACACAACAATAATTGTACATCGAATTAACCTAAATAATTAAAATTTTATTTATCATTTCATTGTATAATTTATTTATTATCATAATTTATTTTTTATATTATTTTATGAAATCAAAATTTAAGAAATTGAAAATAGACCCTTTATCATTATCTAATTTACAAAAAAAAACAAATTAATTCTAAATCCCTAATTTTTTGGGGCATCTATAAAGTTGCAGAAGACATCCTCGCGCCTGGATTGCCAACGAGTGAAATCCGATCAACCGAGACTGAGACGCGGCCGTGACGGACGCTCCGCCGCCACCACGAGGGGCTCTGCATCCAGTCAATCGCGACCACTGCCGGCAGCCACATATATATCGCGGTGCGTCAATTTCGGTCCGGTTCGCCGGCGAGATCTGGCCTCCGGTCGTCCGCGATAGTGGAGGCGGCGATTTCCAGTGTTTGGATGGTTGCGACGGCCACCGGCGTGGGACAGAGCTTTGCGATGGAGGAGACAGCGTGTTAAACGGCGGCGATTCAGAGCTCAACACTTCCGACAGCGAGGCGGCACCTGGCAGACTTCCAGCGGTGAACATCGGTAAGGCGCTTGCCGACGGGAGTCAGTGACGCTAAGTCCGGCTGAGATTGTTTTGTTGGTTTTACTCTGTGTGTGTGTGACGGGTTGTGTGTGTGTGTTTGACGGGGTTACAGTGAAAGAGGAGTCTGACTGAGGAGCGTCGGCGGCGGACGGCGAGCTGCTGGCGGCGACGGACGACGAGCTGTTGGCGGCGGGCGGTGGCGGAGAGTTTCCGACAGGGGTGTTGTGTGTGTGTGGTGTGTGTGTATTGTGTGTGTCAGTGCATGTGAGAGAGTGGGGGTGGGGTGGGGTTGGGTGGGTAATTAATTGGTTAGTTTGGCAGTGGATCCACGTTCATTAATATGTAGTGGGACCTATTTATTTGGGTGAGATATAGAAAATTACTACAATACTCTTAATAAAGGTATAGTTTTGATTTTTTTTAGCCATTAGATCATCCGATCCAATGAGTACGATTTATTCCTATTTCTCGCATTAAGAGCCATTCTCACTGGAACCCATCCCTATATATATATATAAGAATAACTATTTACTAAAAATAGTAGTCAAAATTTTTGGAAGCATTTAATGCATACCTTTTTTAGAAACTTTTCAAATATATGCATTATTTGTTTCTATATACACGTTTCAAATAAGATCAAATTAGATATGATAAAAATATTGTTTCCTTAAATAATTTTATTAATATCTGCAATAATTTCATTGATATCCATTATAATAAATTACATGGTTGATTTTACGTGATTCATGTTGATAATGGATATCAATGAAATTTAATTTCTAACCTTAATATTAATTTCTAATGGATAAATATTACAACATATTTTAATTTCTAACCTTAATATTAATTTTTTTTCACAAATATTCACTTTTTATCTAAAAATATTTATAGAAAACAGTAACAGGTTGGGTAGAATTTTTTCTTCCAATTAATCAGGCGAAATCAAGTGTGTGAATTAATCTTTGTTAATATATTTTTTTCTTAAGCTTTATTTCGTTATATATAAAAAATAAATTATTCCTCAAATTAATATAATTTACCATTTAAGAGATAATGACCAGATACATTAAATAGTTTTACCAATGGTCAAAAATTAAAATTAAAATATATTAATTATTCAAGAATTTATTTGTATATTATTGGAAACCATATTGTTTCTATTATTTTTTTATTTTGATTTTTTTCTACAATTAAATTCTTGTAAAATATATTTTCATTGCAGTGTATGCTAAACAAACTATAAATCCTTATAATGCAAAGTAGAAAAATCTTGATTATAGAATGGATTGAGTTTTTGGCATTTGCTAAATCAAAGTTGTTCAATTGGTATACAAAATTAAATTGTAAAAACAAATGTGTGCATATTTTGTAAAATATTTATACACTATTTAATTTTAAATGTATCTACATGTTTTAAATTGATTACATAAATAAATAATACTGACGTGCATTAAATATTTTTCAAGAAAAATAAGACATACAACTTCTATAACTTTTATAAATAAGAATGACATTATATGACAACAAAGTTTATAATAAAATAATAATTACGTATTATATAGTGAACAATAATAAGTAAAACTGTTGTTTTTCTCTTATATAAAGAAACAAATATATATAGTAAAACCAAATTTATATTAGTATAAATGTGTTAGTGAGATAAAATATTAATTATTTTACAAGTTAGCCCTAACATACATGGGTACGTACGGAAATGCTCACATGCCCACGGTGGGCACATGTTATTATGCCCACCGTGGATGTGGCATGCACACTTGGTGATGTTAATATGTTAAAAAAATACATCACCAATGTGTGCATGCCACATAAGCGGTGGATATATTAACATGTGCCCACCGTGGGCATGTGAGCATTTCCCAAGATACGTACTAGTCAATATAGTAAGTTGTACAAAACACCACATGCAAACGTCCTAGAGGGAGCTAATCCATCGAATGAGTATTGAAATGGCAAGTCATCTAAACAAGATGACGTTTTTAATCTTTTTTGCCCAGATTAATCGTGTTGAGTGACACGGATCATTATAAGTGGTTCATAGATTTCTATTTTTGAGTAGTAATTTGATATTTGTGTCCCGAGATGCAGGGCCGGAACCCAATGAGGACCAATGAGGGCCTAAGCCCACATTAAAAAAAAGAACCCTAGTATATGTATATTACACTTACTACTACTAGTCTACTAGCCCATAATATGAGCCCAACTAATGATTTAACTTAATATAAGCATTTGACATTGGGATGTAATTGAAAAACTTTAGGATAAATTTTGTACTCTTTTTGTAATCTAATAATCGGTTTGTAATTGGCTTTTTGTACAAAAAAGAAAATCTATTACAAAGTTCATTTTCTTGATAGTTATTATATCCTAATAATCGGTCTGTAATTGAAGTTTTCAAAATTTTGTACAAAAAAGAAAATCTATTAATTTAATAAGCATTTGACATGATATTAATCTAATGACGGACGTACAGAGTAAAAGAAAAAAAAGGGAGAAAGAGGGGAAAGAGAGAGAGGAAGGATATATCAATTTTTTGTCCAACTTTTCGAGAATGCGACTTGTAAAAGGTAAAAATCACTCTTCTTTAATTACCTTTAATTTTCTTTGTAAAGCGACGACGGAGAGGAAATCGATTCCCGGTTATGTGGCTATCACCATCCTTGTACGTCTCACCATAAGGGATCCAAATGTATTCCCTCTAATCGAGTCCACCTTTTCGATTCTGACTCCGAGAACTTTTTATTCCCTAGTACAAATTTTCCAGATTTGAATCGATATATGGAATTAAATTGAGAGGAAAAGAAGCCGAGAACAAGTATTGCTCTCTTTCTTAAAAAATGAGAGAACTTGTTTTTCCATTCTCATGAATGAATGATTGGTTTCTCATAACCCATGTATACATATATATATTTGCAAATAATTGTGAGTTAACTTCTCAACTTAACCCATATATATACATATACATTTAGAATAAGATGGTGGTGGATGACATATTGGCATCCTCACCAAATTATAATTTTAATTTAATAAATCTTTAATCTTAATTAAAGATTAATTAAAAATAATGACCTATAATTTTTGAAACTACCTTTCAAAATTAATTGGTCAAAATCTTATCTCCCATAAGAATAAAATCATCTCCTCCCTTACGTGGGCTTTTAATTAATTAATCATATTAATATTTGGATTTGAATTTTAAAGTCCAACTATTAATTTAGTAATTCTAATAATTACTTAACTAATATCCAAAGGCCAATTAATCAATCCAATTGATTAATATGTATTATTCCTTTAATTGACATCTAATCAAAATTAGATTTAATTAAATAATCAAATTATTTAATTAAGTTTTTGTCAATTAATCCAACTATTGGAAATACCAATTTCAAAATGTCATCATCCAAAATTTGGTGTGACCCTTTTAGGTTCACGATTAACACTAGTAGTGGGTTTACAACTCGTTTGCAATTTAAATAAATCTAATTAATTTATATTCTTTGAAATTAATTCCTTAATTTCAAGAACCCACAAATCATGGTAACATCTAGCAAGTAGCATGATTATCTAGTGTTAAGCGAAATTGCGAGTAAACCTTTTTCAATTACAAGTGCATACATATAAAATCTTTTTGACAACTAATTTCCCGATTAAATTTTGGGCATGGATTTATAAGTCGAAACCCAATTAATTTAATAACTATGATTCCATTTCAAGTTTAGGGATTACTTTATGAATCCATATTCATCCCGCCTAGGTCAAGCTCTTTGAATCACAAACTATGAAAAACATAAGACATTCACTTTTCCACATAAGTATCGAATTCTTTGTTGGCCACAGACAAACCTCTATACATATTGATACAGTACCCAAAATATCCCTTTTATGATTGTCCAACAATCAAAGGATAAATCAAAGTAAAGCACAACATGCACAAGATTACTATCGTGACTCAATTCTGAGGATCAGTCATGTACTATTGCAACATGAAAATTCTTATTCGACAGTTAAAATCTTCCAGTTAAGAATTTTCATAGGGCCATGTTCAATGAACTTATACTCCAACAAGCACCCGCATATATGAATTTGTGTCCACACGCTAATGTTGATGAAATGCAACATCCTCGTGCAACGAGCATGCATCATATGCACAAGTCTTAATGGTTATTCGATGTCCTTTCTCGAAGCACCCATCGACTTGGAACTTATTTAACATCACAGCTTTAAAGACATGTTCCATGATTGCAATGAAATGCGCAACCATGTCTCATAGCTATTATGTACAAATATAGGATAAATTCAAAGACATAAGATAAAGAAATGCCTCAAAATAATACAAATTCCAATAAATTGTCTTTATAAGTAGAAATAGAACCAATCAGATTGGAACGCCGGGTATTCTACTCTAACACACCCTTGCAATCAAATGCGCAACCATGTATCGTAGCTATTATGTGCAAATATAGGATAAATTCAATGACATAAGATAACGCAATTGCTCAAAATAATATAAAATTCCAATAAATTGTCTTTATAAGTAGAAATAGAACCAATCAGATTAGAACGTCGGGTATTCTACTCTAACACACCCGTTGTCTTCAAGTGGAGATTATCTCAAAGGATCTTATCGGTGATCTTAAGCTCTTTTCCTTTTAAGTAGCATGTGAGGTATTCATATCTTCGTGTATCTCCATCGTACTAAAGAACAAGATGGTAAGTCCTTTGTAGGATATCAAATTGGCGTCCGCATATTTTTCTAGATTAAGAGCTTTCAAGTATTTCCGGACATCATCGACTATACTAAGGGTCTTCAACACATCCCAATCTAGTACTCGAGAGTACGGAAAAGGTCTTGCGGCAAGGCACTTGTAAGTGAACGCCTCCGTCTGGAGTAAGGACCGAGAATGGAATTTCGTGGATTTTAGCCAAAGTTCGGGTTTCTGCGCTGGGTTCGAGTCAGAATGGTCCGAGTCGCTTGAGGTCTCGGGCGGGGTTGAGATCCTCGCCGTCTTTTTGCCTTTGTCCTTAGCGGGAGGAGCCTTTGGTGCCGTCTTTGTTCTTCCCATATTCGGTTTTTGGGTACGTTGGATAAAAAGGAGTGAATTCAAATCAATTTGATTCCTTGCCCAGTTGAGACAATTTATCAAACACTTGGTGGGTACAAATTTGGCTTAAGAAGCTTAACGAATTTCAAAGAGGCTCTGCTCAATTTCCAACACCTCAAGCAATTTTTCAACAAGCTGAGACAATTGTCGTACCTTAATGCTTCGAGAAACGACAAAAATTTTTGAGTTTACCCAAAAGTTTGAAAATCCCGTATGCTTTCTTCAAGATGAGATGGCCAAAGAAGATGAGTTTGGCCAGAGACGGAGGGTGTCTTCGGTGACAAGGTCGGAGCTCCGACGTTGGGTGGTGGTCGGAGATGGGTGACAAGCCGATGATCGGAGATGATGGTGTAGGAGAAGTTGGGGCTAGGGTTCGAAAATCGCGAGAGGGAGAGATTGAGAGACAGAGTGAAATAAATTCTCATGCCCATGTATATATATGCACGGGGTTCCGTGGCGCAGGACATGTGCCGCGGCGTGACGCTCCTCTCTTGCCGCGGCGTGACACTCCCGAAGTCCCAACTTCTCTGCAAGCCCGTTAAGTGTGCCACGAGAAGTGCCGCGGCGCGGAGCTCAGGATGTGCTGCGGCGTGACGGTTGACGCGGTGTGGTGGTGGCCGGAGCATAACTCTCTGTTGAGGCATTAGGGGGGCCGCGAGTTGTGCCGCGCTGTGGAGACCTGGGCACCTGCTTTACTTCTTCCGAT